TCAGACCACATTAGCTTTGAAGGCCCACGTTAATAAAAAAATCAATATATAAAGAAGCCCACATATCCCTGACACACAATTAGGGTTTCAACTTTCAATCCTGATTGCACTTTATCTTCTTCTCTACTCTCTAGTAGATTTTTTTTTTTTCCCGTTTTCTATAAACAATCTATTCACAAATGAGTAAACATGACTGGTCAACTCTTCCAAAATACCTGTTAGGAATGATTGCAGAAAGATTGAATGTCAACCAATGTAACGCTCATGAGTTGGGGTTAGTCCCACATTGCCAAGGAATGGTTGTGGATTGTAGTATATAGAGCTTAACTATACACTAACTAATGTCAAGGCCTTTTGGGGAAAGCCCATGTGGGTGGACCCTGATCCAAAACCCTCTACTGCTGGAAGCCCGCAGTGACTAAAGGGGGACAATATTGATATTATGGACTAGTATGGTGCTCGACGCACCGGGATGAGCGAGGACGAAATCCCGGGGCGTTACAACCAAGTGATTCGATTACGCGCAGTTTGCAAGTCATGGCAATTTTTTGCACCTAGTAGTAAACTACACTCTACTCAAGTTCCATGGCTTATGCTTCCTTTCAACTTTCAAGAAATCTATTCATACTCGACGTCAGTTTTATAATATATCTGACAACCAAATTTATTCTATTAGATTATCTCAATATAACAATAATTCTTGTTGTGGATTTCTCGCGGTTGGTTGTTTGAGGTTGATAATCTTATGAGGTGTTCAATGTTGAATCCTTTAACAAGAGTTCATATTCTTTTACCTTCAGTTAAGTTAGCCAACTTGACTACAATGCCGCGAACCGCTTCTACTCATAATCAACTTATAGTTAAATTTGTTTTATCTTCAAGTCCATATTTGTTTGTGATCTTGGCCAGTGACAATTGAAGTCAAAGCACGAGAGAATGTTAATGCTTGCAAATCTTATTTGGTGGAATCATCAGGTGAACTATTGTTGATTAGGAGGCTCCAAAGTGGGATATATAATCGTGATGTTACCGTTTGATATATGAAGAAGAATGGAGGACGTCGTGATATAGCTAGGTAACTTCAATCTAGCAGATGGCCTTATTGAACCAATTTCTGATAAGTTTTGGTATTCTGATTCTATAGATCAACCATGCATATGGATTGCAGTGTCTCCGTTAACTTGGCTTTTGAAAAATGTAGAACAAGTTACAGCTATTCAACCACA